CTGGGATTGATTTTGGGGGTAATTGCCTCCAAATTTTAGGAATTAGGGGCCAAAAAAGGTGCAAAAAACAAGCATTTTTCTAGTTTCATGACAATAACTTGTGTGTAAGTGTATGGATCTTTCTGAAATTGTACTACAAGGTTCCATATCACAAAGGGAAAGCTGGAATTGAGTTTGGGGGTAATTGCCCGAAACGTTTAGGAATTGGGGGCCAAAAAGGGGCCAAAAATAAGCATTTTTCTAGTTTCCAGACAATAACTTGTGTTCAAGTGTATGGATCTCTCTGAAATTGTACTGCAAGGTACCATACCACAAAGGGAAGGCTGGGATTGAGTTTGGGGGTGATGAATCATAAGGGGGTTCAAAAAATTTGGGGGGGGGATTTTTTTTTTTTCCTTTTTTTCTTTTTTTCCTTTTTTTTTTCTTTTAAAATTTTCCATTTTAAGTTGGTGATTTCTGATTTATATTTAAAAGCAAATAATAATGATATGGTAGGAGATACACACCAAACAGGATGTGTAAATTATTATATAATAAGTATTGTGCAATAGCAAGAAATTTTCAATTGCACAGTATTGCACAATAGCAAGAAATCTTCAATTGCACAGTATTGCGCAATAGCAAGAAATCTTCAATTGCACAGTATTGCGCAATAGCAAGAAATATCCAATAGCACAATATTGCACAATAGCAAGAAATTGTCAATTGTACAGTATTGCGCAATAGCAAGAAATATTTAATTGCACAGTATTGTGCAAAAGAAGATACTTCGTATAAATTGCTTATTTCTTGACCAATTTCAATGGGGTTTTATTCTTGAATTCTTGGGGTTCTTTAATATGCTGAATCTAACCGTGTATTTAGTTTTTGGATTTTGGGCCCCGTTTTTAAATTGGTCCACATTGAGGTCCAAAGGGTCCAAAATTAAACTTTGTTTGATTTCATCAAAAATTGAATTCTTGGGGTTCTTTGATATGCCGAATCTAACCATGTATTTAGATTCTTAATTTTTGGTTCCGTTTTCAAATTGGTCTAAATTAAGGTCCAAAGGGTCCAAAAATAAACTTAGTTTGATTTTAACAAAAATTGAATTCTTAGGGTTCTTTGATATGCTGAATCTAAACATGTATTTCGATTTCTGATAATGGGCCCAGTTTTCAAGTTGGTCCAAATCAGGGTCCAAAATTAAACTTTGTATGATTTCAACAAAAATTGAATATATGGGGTTCTTTGATATGCAGAACATAACCATGTATTTAGATTTTTGATTTTTGGGCCCTGTTATCAACTTTGTCCACATTGAGGTCAAAAGGGTCCAATATTAAACTTTGTTTGATTTCATCAAAAATTGAATTCTTGGGGTTCTTTGATATGCTGAATTTAACCATGTATTTAGATTTTGGATATTGGACCATAATAGGTGAATGTCCAATTTAAAATTTTTAAGTTCTTAGACCACATTCATTCTGTGTCAGAAACCTATGCTGTGTCAAATATTTAATCACAATCCAAATGCAAAGCTGTATCAAGCTTGAATGTTGTGTCCATACTTGCCCCAACTGTTCAGGGTTCGACCTCTGCGGTCGTATCAAGCTGCGCCCTGCGGAGCATTTTATTTAATTTTTAACCAGATTTTTGAAAGAAAAATCGGTTATTGATTTGGTAGTGTACAGCAGGCTGGCGGGCGGGTTGCTGCCAAACAGTGTCTGTTCATTAACATGAAAATGCTTTGACGAATTTTTTTTAAAATTTAGATTTGTTGTTTCCTGTGACTAGATGAAGGTCAAGTTCAATTTTCACGATTTTAGCTGTTCTCATTGTTGAGTTTTAGACATTTCTGTAGCAAAATTTATTTTTATTATATGAATTTGAGTTATTTCCCTTTGAACAGAAAATGAAGTAATTAATAAGTATATGTATAGATAGTCTATCAATGATTGTATCTGTTCAATTGATTTTAGTCGGGAAAGGTCAAAAATTTCTTTTTAACTATTTTTTTTAAGTCATGTGTGTTTTGAAGGTAGATGTCACAGTTGTTGTGTGGTATTTTATTTTTACGATCGCGGTTGTATATTGGTGTCACGTAGGCGTCAGCGTCAGCATTGTCCGTAGACATTTGGTTTCCGGACAATAACTTAAGTATAAGAATATATAAATCTATGAAATTTAGACACAAGGTTTGAAACCACAAAAGGAAGGTTGGGATTGATTTTGGGGGTTATGGTCCCAACGGTTTAGGAATTAGGGGTCAAAAAGGGGGCCAAATAAGCTTTTTTCTAGTTTCAAGACAATAACTTGTGGAACAGTGTATGAATCTCTCTGAAATTGTACCACAAGTTTCCACACCACAAAGGGATGGTTAGGATTGGCTTTGGGGGGGGGGGGGACGGTTATGGCTCAAACCATTTAGGAATTAGGGGCAAAAAAGGGGGGAAAACAAGGGTTTCCTAGTTAATGGACAATTACTTAAGTATTGGTCTTTGGATCTTTATGGAATAGATATTTGACCATTAAGCATTATATAAGGGATAGCATTCAATTGATTCATGATATTTTACAGTATATAGAAGAGAACAATATTTTTGGATTACTGCTCTTTATTGATTTTGAGAAAGCTTTGATTCTTTATGTTGGGACTTTTTACTATTTGTCTGCTAGTTCTAGTATGAATTATTTTTTAGCTGTTTCTAGAAACATCAAATACTGTGATGGAAGTATATATAATATTATAATAGTGTATATCAAAGGGTTCAGTGGTAATAAATTTTTATACTCAGAATTGGTTATTCTTTGTTTTTTGGTTTTTTTTTTGCATTAGAGTTACCTCCCTTACAATGGTTTTGTAATAAAGAAATGTTGTATTGTTTTGAGGTGATTAGCTGTCAATTTATTTATTTTTAAGCTCGCTGCTGTTTCTAGAAACATCAAATACTGTGATGGAAGTATATATAATATTATAATAGTGTATATCAAAGGGTTCAGTGGTAATAAATTTTTATACTCAGAATTGGTTATTTTTTGTTTGGTTTTTTTTTTGCATTAGAGTTACCTCCCTTACAACGGTTTTGTTATAAAGAAATGTTTTATTGTCTTGAGGTGATTAGCTGTCAATTTATTTTTAGAAGTAAATATTAAATGCTGATGAAGGTATATTATTTTTAGAAGTTACTATTAAATGCTGATGAAGGTATATTATTTTTAGAAGTTACTATTAAATGCTGATGAAGGTTTTATAATTTTAGCCATGATTATGTATGTCATTTTCTATTTTGATACTTTTATGATGTATTTAAATGGGTTTTTATGGTTACTTGTGTATAAGTATTTTGATTGTTCTGAAATTGTACCACAAGGTTCAATACCAAAAGAAGAAGGTTGGGATTCATTTTGGGGGTAATTGCCCAAACCGTTCAGGAATTAGGGGTCAAAAAAGGTCTAAAACAAGCATTTTTATACGCCCGTTTACGGGACGTATTATGGTATACCGTTGTCCGTCTGTCCGTCCGTCGTCAACATGTCAGACATTAACTCAAAAACGCTTAAACCAATTTGCATAAAACTTTGGTGAATTGTTAATATCTATTGACGTGAGCTCCCTTTCGTTTTTTATAAATTTTAGATTTTACGTTTCCAAGTTATGGGGTTTTATTCATTTAAAAAGGGGGATTTTCCAGTTTTCAGACAATAACTCAAGAATGCTTTCACCAACTTGCAAGAAATTGTTGTGAATTGTTTATATCTATTGACATGAGCTCCCTTTTGATTTTTATAAATTTTAGATTTTACATTTCCAAGTTATGGGGTTTTATTCATTTAAAAAGGGGGATTTTCCAGTTTTCAGACAAAAAATCAAAAATGCTTTCAGCAGTTCTTATGAAACTTTGGTGAATTGTTTATATCTATTGATGTAAGCTCCATTTAGAATTTTATAAATTTTACATTTTACATTTCTGAGTTATGGGGTTTTATTCATTTAAAAAGGGGGATTTTCCAGTTTTCGGACGATAACTCAAAAATGCTGTCAGCAATTCTCATGAAACTTTGGTGAATTGTTTATATCTATTGATGTAAGCTCCCTTTACATTTTTATACGACCGCAAAAAATTTTTGCGGTCGTATATTGGTATGACGTTGGCGTCGTCGTTGTTGTCGTCCGAAGACACATTGGTTTTCGCACTCTAACTTTAGTTTAAGTGAATGGATCTCTTTGAAATTTTACCATAAGGTTCAATACCACAAAAGGAATTATTGGGGGTTATGGTACCAACAGTTAAGGAATTAGGGGCCAAAAATAAGCATTTTCTAGTTTCCAGACAATAACTGTGGAACGGTGTATGGATCTCTCTGAAATTATACTACAAGTTTCCATACCACAAAGGGATGGTTAGGATTTGCTTTGGGGGTTGTGGCTCAAACCGTTTAGGAATTAGGGGCAAAAAAGGGGGAAAAACAAGGTTGTCCTGGTTAATGGACAAATACTTTAGTACAAAACATAATTTAAAGCAGTGTAAGGGAGATAAATCAAAAACATCATTGAAATTATCTCCCTTACACTGCTTTTAAATTATGTATAAAGTAATGGTTAATGAACAATTAAGATAATTTAAAACAGTGTAAGGGAGGTAATCCAAATACAACGTTTTGGTTACTTCCCTTACACTGCTTTTAAATTATGTTTAAAGAAATGCATGTTTATAAAGGAAGACCAGTAAAAATATCTGCAAATGTTGCATTTTTTTTTTACAAAGAAAATCCATATGAAAGATTTGACACTATATTTTAAATTCTATTATAAAATAAATTTAGTTAGCACTATGGTAAATTTAAATGGGTGATTATGGTTTCAAACTCCATTGGAAATTTGAATTGAGATTATGACCATATCTTTAGGGAAAGAATTTTTTGGTGGAAAAAAGGGGGGGGGGGGTAAAAAGAAATTGTGGGGGTCGATTTTTTCTCATTTTAGATTTCAGAAATTAAAAAGAATTATTCTTCAAATATTATTTTTTTTTCAAATTTAAAATATTGAAAAATTTCAAGAAGTAATCTTTAATTGCACAGTATGGCGCATTAGATTTGTAAAATCTTTGACCACATTTATTTATTTGTTATGCCGAATCTAACCATGTATTTAGATTTTTAATTTTGGGTCCAGTTTTCAAATTGGTTTACATTAAGGTCCAAAGGGTCCAAAATTAAACTTTGTTTGATTTTAACAAAAATTGAATATATGGGGTTCTTTGATATGCTGAATCTAACCATGTATTTAGATTTTTTATTTGGGGGCCCGCTATCAAATTGGTTCATATTGAGGTCAAAAGGGTCCAAAATTAAACTTTGTTTGATTTCATCAAAAATTGAATTATTGGGGTTCTTTGACATTCCAAATCTAACCGTGTATTTAGATTTTTAATTTTGGGTCCCGTTTTTTAAACTGGTCTACATTAAGGTCCAAAGGGTCCAAAATTAAACTTAGTTTGATTTTAACAAAAATTGAATTCTTGGGGTACTTTGATATGCTGAATCTAAACATGTGTTTAGATTTTTTATTATGGGCCCAGTTTTCAAGTTGGTCCAAGTTGGGGTCCAAAATTAAACTTTTGTTTGATTTCAACAAAAATTGAATATATCAGGGTTCTTTGATATGCTGAATCTAACCATGTATTTTGATTTTGGACATTGGACCATAATAGGTAAATTAAAAAAATTCAAGTTCTTAGACCACATTCTTTCTGTGTCAGAAACCTATGCTGTGTCAAATATTTAATCACAATCCAAATTCAGAGCTGTATCAAGCTTGAATGTTGTGTCCATACTTGCCCCAACTGTTCAGGGTTCGACCTCTGCGGTCGTATCAAGCTGCGCCCAGCGAAGCATTTTATTATAAATTTCTAATATGACATTGAGAATTTATTGAACTTTAATTATTTATAGTCTGACAACAGATTTACTAAGTATTGCACAACAGCACAGTGTATTGCACAACAGCAAGAAATCTTTAATTGAATATAAATTCAATTCATATAACCAATTTCAAGTTCTTTGAATACATTTATTCAGAAACCTATAATATGTCAAATATTTAATACAATCCAAATTCAGACCTGTATCAAGCTTGAATATTGTGTTCATTTTTGCCCCAACTGTTCAGGGTTGGACCTCTGCGGGCGTATCCAGCTGCGCTCAGCGAAGCAGTTTATTCTAGTTTTCAGACAATAACTTGTGTTTAAGTGTATGGATGTGTCTTAATTTGTACCACATCTTCAAAATTATTTTTTTTGGAAAAAGGAAGGGGGGGGGGGGGGGGGGGGGGTAAAAAAAAATGTTTTGTGGGGTGGGGCAATTTTTTTTCCTCAAAAGAAAATTCTCTTCAAGTATTTTTTTGGAAAAGGGGGGGGGGGGGGGTCAATTTTTTTTTCCTTAAGATTTAAGAAATTGTCAATTTTCCAAAGAAAAAAATTGGGGGTCACAATTTATTTTGCTAATTCTTTGTATATAGTCTGAAAACAGATTTACTAAGTATTGCGCAACAGCACAGTGTATTGAACAACAGAAGAAATCTTCAATTGAATATAAATTCAAATCATACAACCATTTCAAGTTCTTGGACTACATTTATTCTGTGTCAGAAACCTATAATGTGTCAAATATTTAATTACAATCCAAATTCAGACCTGTATCAAGCTTGAATATTGTGTCCATTTTTGCCCAAACTGTTCAGGGTTGGACCTCTGCGGTCGTATTCAGCTGCGCTCGGCGAAGCAGTTTATTGTTGTGTGTGTTGATGTTTAATTTTTACTTGATTCTTTTTTGGGGTCCAGATTTGCAAATATCATTTTCATTAGATAATAATTTATTTTTATTAAAGGATATATTTCATTACATTACATTGTGTAGATAAAGTTGTTGACATTGATAGATAAGTTGCAGATCTATATTAGTTTGTGACAAATGAAAGAAAAAATATTGGGAATTTTTGATTATATGTATATATAAAGTTTGATTACACTAAGTGTTTTTAAATAATTTTCACCTGTTTTCAGATAACAAAGCATGTGGTAAATATCAATCACACAATTATAATTGGAGTGACAGATTTATTTGAAAATTTTCTGTTTCCTAAGTTTTGATAATGAAAAGCTCTGTAGGACAGTATAAATATTGTTTGAAATTTACTGTTCATTATTAGACATTTTGATGATAATTACAGATAAATTTATAGATTTTTAAAAGACATTATATTAATGATAAATGACATTTTTATGCCCCCGCCGTAGCGTTGGGGTTATTAAGTTTTACCCTTGTCCGTCTGTACGTAGGTGTACGTACGTATGTCTGTACGTACGAACGTACGTCCCAAAATTGGTTTCCGTTCTCTAACTTGAGTTTGCCTCAACCAAATGTTATGAAACTTATACACAATGCTTATTACCACAAAACACAGATCAAGTTTGAATTTTGGTGGCGTCACTTTAACCGTTCTAGAGTTATGCCCCTTTACAAATGGAAAAATTGCAAAATTTGTAGTTTCCGTTCTGTAACTTAAGTTTGCCTCAACCAAATGTTATGAAACTTATACACAATGCTTATTACCACAAAACACAGATCAAGTTTGAATTTTGGTGGCGTCACTTTAACCATTCTAGCGTTATGCCCCTTTATAAATGGAAAAATTGCAAAATTTCGATTTTCTTCTAATTATCAAGTACTCCCCAAGGGTGACTGGGGAATAGAAGTATGGTCACCATTGGTCTTCCTCCGACTGGCAGTAAAACCCTTGCTAAAGTGGGGCGTCCGTTTGGCTGTGCGGGATGTACAAATTTGCAGCCACGTCCAGTCAGAATGGGGACGTTAAATCTGATGCCTCGTTTAAAGAGAGTGCCACGCTCTTTGCACGTTAAGACCCCTTGCAACAACTCTTTGAGGGGCCCGTGGGTGACCTGTTGCAAGGCTAAATTTCTGACCCTATCCAATATACCCTCATTTCCCGTGGCAGTCTAAATTTCTCAGACTTTAATCCCGGACGCCCCTATTACAGAACCTACCTATTGTATTTATTGTTAATTTGTTCTCGTCCTGAATATGCATGAAATATTTGCCACTGGACAGTAAGCAACCAACAATCAATCAATCAATTAAATATCAAGTAATTTTTATTTTGGAGTTATCTTCCTTTGTCCATGATTATAGTTGAATCAACTATAATCAATGCTTTATACAATGCAATGTTTAATTTTGACTTCCACTGATAAAACACAGATCAAGTTGAATTTGGGTAGTGTCACTTTAACCATTATTGAGTTATGTCCCTTTATAAATCGAAAGATTGCAAAATTTTTAGTTTCCATTCTGTAACTTAAGTTTGCCCAAACCAAACATTATGAAACCTACACATAATATTCATTACCACAAAACTAAGATCAAGTACAAATTTTTTGTTTCCGTTTTCTAACTTTATTTTGCCTCAACCAAATGTTATGAAACTTATACACAATGCTTATTACTACATAATACAGATTAAGTACGAAATTTGGTGGCGACACTTTTACCATTCTTGAGTTATGTCCTTTTATAAACATAAAAATTGCTGAAATTAGTTTGTCTCAACCAAATTAAATGTTATAAAACTTATTTATACACAACTGTTCTAGAGTTATGCGTGTTTACAAATAGAAAAATTGCTGAATTTTTAGTTTCTGTTCTCTACTTAAGTTAGCCTCAACCAAATGTTATGAGACTTACACACAATGCTTATTACCACAAAACTCAGATCAAGTTCAAATTTGGGTAGCATCACTTTTACCCTTCTTCAGTTATGTTCCTTTATAACTATATGATATGCAAGCGGGGGCATCATCTGTGTCCATATGTGGACACTATCCACATTTTTTTTTTTTCTTTTTTTTTGGTAAATTGTTTGAAGAATTTTGTGGTAGGTTTGTTTGTTATTCTGTATAAACTAATTTTCTGAATGCTATATATATATATATATATTTTTTTTGACGAAGTGAACTCCTTTAAAAACTAATCTTATATTGCCTATTAAAAAACATATATTTATATTTCTGATTTTGGGTCCAGTTTTCAAGTTGGTCCAAATCAGGGTCCAAAACTAAATTGTTTGATTTTAACATAAATTGAATATATATAAGGTTCTATGAAATGCTGAATCTAAAGCTGTATTTATTTTCATTATTGATTAGATAATACCACATTGATGTCCAAATGGTCCTAAATTAAACTTTTGTTTGATTTCATCAAAAATTGAATTCTTGGGGTTTTTTGATATGCTGATTCTAACAATGTACTTAGATTTTGGATATTGGACCATAAAAGGTAAATGTCTGATTTCAAATTTTTGACCACATTCATTTTGTGTCTCAAACCTATGCTGTGTCAAATATTCAATCACAATCCAAATTCAGAGCTGTTTTAAGCTTAAATGTAATTGTTGTGTCAATACTTGCTCAACTGTTCAAGGTTCGACCTCTGCTGGAAAATCCAGTTTACTGTCACTCTGACAGCCTCTTGTTAGATTTTTATGCCCCACCTAGGGGCATTATGTTTTTTGGTCTGTGCGTCCATTCATTCGTCCGTCAGTTTGTCCCGCTTCAGTTTAAAGTTTTTGGTCAAGGTTAGTTTTTGATGAAGTTGAAGTCCAATCAACTTGAAACTTAGTACACATGTTCCCTATGATATGATCTTTCTAATTTTAATTGGAGTTTTTAACCCAATTTCACGGTCCACTGAACATAGAAAATGATAGTGTGAGTGGGGCATCCGTGTACTATGGACACATTTTTGTTTATCTATGCATGTGAAAAATTAATATAAACGAATTAAATACAAATAAAAATATAACATGTTATAATGATTATAAATAAAGTATTCAGGAATTATATATTTTTCAACACACTCAAATGTTTATAGAGTATAAAAAAACAAAGTACCAATTACATATACATGTATATGCTAAATGTAGTAACACATACACAATTTACAAGGACATGATGTTTGAGTGAATCAGAAAAGCCTAAAATGATTAAAAATTTACCAGCAAATATCTAAATGTATTTGAAAGTAATTGAAATGTAATTCATAATTACATGGCAAACAGGCAATGCAATTAATTACTTTCAATTACATGTAATTGAAAATATGATGAATTACACATTACATTGAATTACTTTCAAATTTGTAATTAATTACAGCAGGTCTGTTGAAAATTGTTTAACTCTTCATATATATTTTTAAAATAAGCTCATTCTTAAGCAAGAGAATTGAAGTCTTTGTTCATTTGAATTCAAAATCTAGTTTTTATATGACAGCATAATTTTTGCGGTTGTATAATGATATGACTTTTTGGTCATTGTCGTCATCGTCCGTAGACGATTTAGGATATAAGTATATGGATCTCTATGAAATTGTACCACAAGGTTCCATACCACTAAAGAAAGATTTGGATTGATTTTGGGGGTTATTGTCCTAACTGTTGAGGAATTAGAGGTAAAAAAGGGGCCAAAAATGAGCATTTTTCTTGTTTTAGGATGATTACTTGTGTATAAGTATATCGATCTCTATGAAATAGTACCACAATGTTCCATACCTAAAAAAGAAGGTCTGGATTAAATTTGGGGTTGTGGCCCTAACAGTTTATGAATAAGGAGCCAAAAAGGGATACAAAAACAAGGATTTTCTGGTTTTTAACCGGATTTTTGAAAGAAAAATCGGTTGATGATTTGGGGGTGTATGGCGTGCTGGCAGGCGTCTGCTAAACAGTGTCCGTTCATTTACATGAAAACGCTTTGTAAATTTTTTCAACTTTAGATATGTTGTTTCCT